CCTTTTTATCTGTGAGTAGCCAAATACAATGCAAATAGAATTGCTTTCTACATCTAAATTGGGATTAGGGTAGTCAACTCAGGGTAATCAGGGCCAGCAGGTGGATTTCTCCACAGTTGGGAGCTTGAAATGTAAAACAACGCATAAAAATAGAAGAAAGGAAAAGCCTACTCAAGGAAAGGTGAAGCAATTTGTAGTGTACTTTTGCTGACCTTGTAAAATGGCTTCTATTAATATATGTTTTACAAAAGGGCTTTGGAGAGGTCCTTCTGAGGCTGGAGGGTAAAAGAACTAGGAAGGGCCCTGGCCGGTTTGGCTCAGTGGATAGAGCCTCGGCCTGCGGACTCAAGGGTCCCAGGTTTGATTCTGGTCAGGGGCATGTGCCTTGGTTGCGGGCATGTACCCAGTGGGGAGTGTGCAGGAGGCAGCTGGTCGATGTTTCCAGCTCTCTATCCCTCTCCCTATCTCTCTGTAAAAAATCAATAAAAAAAAAAAAAAAAAAGAACTAGGAAGGGGCTTGCCAGGCTCAGAAGCCATTGGAAGAGAGGACCTCAGGAAGTCCAGACTGAAAAATCTAAGGATTAATGGTTAGCAACTCATGCTACACAGCACTTTATACTTTACAAAATACATTTTTTAAAGAAACTATATATATATAATTTCAGAGAGAAAGGGAGAGGAAGAGAGAGATAGAAACATCAAAGAAAGGGAGAGGAAGAGAGAGATAGAAACATCAATGATGAGAGAGAATCATTGACGCCTGAAACCTGGGCATGTGCCCTGACCGGGAACTGAACTGTGACCTCCTGGTTCATAGGTCGACACTCAACCACCGAGCCATGCCGGCCAGGCCTACAAAATACTTTTAATGAAATGTAGGGAAATTCCAGGATATCTGCTGTAGTAGGACCATGGCAGTGGATGGTGCTGGGGGTGGTTCTATACTAGCACTGCACTGGCCACTCCTAACTTCTTGTGACTTGAGGTATAGAAACCACTTACTTTTTCCTTCAACAGCACTCGGCTGCTCTAGAGTGAAGGTTTGTGTTCCCCCAAAGTTCATTTGTTGAACCTAATCCCCAATGTGGTGGTATTTTGGGGGTTGGGCCTTTGGGTCATGAGGATGGAGCCCTCATGAATGGGATTAGTGCCCTTACATAAGAGACCCCAGAGAGCTGCCTTGCCCTTTCTGTTGTGACTGCCATCTATGAACCAGGAATCTTCCCAGACCCCATATTTGCCTGCACCTTAATCTTGGACTTCTCAGCCTCCAGAACCGGGAGAAATAAATGTTTTTTGTTTGTTTAAGTTACCCAGTCAATGGTATTTTTGTTATAGCAGTCCAGACAGACTGACACCTGCTATCTTTTACATGGTAAATGCAATCCTAACTCCTAGGTGGGGGTGGGGGGCTGTTGCAAGATGTTATGTAACTGTGACAAGGCAAACCCTGCTAGAAAAAGCATGGCGGCCTCTCTCTCTCTCTCTCTCTCTCTCTCCTCTTCTTGACCTTCCTTAAAGTGTTTCTCTTTGTTTCCTTTCTCCCAAGCTCCAAGGGCCCTTCTTTTGCCTCTGAAACTTGTTTTCTGAGCCCATGGAGCCCAGCTTCTTCCATGGCTTGCTTCTTCTTTGCTTCTGCCTCTGCGACTTTCTAAATAAACTTTTGCTTGTATTTGGAAAGGAAAAAAAAAAGGAACGTTATGCTAGTGATAGGGTGGTATGCTAGTGATAGAGCAGTGGGTAATGTCTACTTGACCCAGGGAGAAGAGAGCTAAGGAAAATCCAGAGGAGGCCAACATCTCAGGGTAGGGAAAGGACCAGGGAAGAAAGGTGAGAGAAGGAGAAAAGAAAGGAATGGCCAGACACCCAGGAGGAAACCAACAGTTAAGTCAATGGCCGGAGAAGGGAAGAAACAGAAAGGACAGATGCACTGTTAACTTATTTGAAGGATTTCTTGTGGGAAAGAGGTTATATTTGTTTTCTATAACAAGTATGTGACAAGTATATAAACACAAGAGGTAAAACCAACCCAGTGGCGAAGGTGCAGGTAGGAGGATCTGGAGCAATAATTAGTGTTCTTGTCTAGTCTGGATGCCTTCGCCTCCCCATCTTCATCTGTTAATAACCTGGCCCTTGGTTATAAAGTGGGCAGTAATATTATTCTATCCCTCTGGCCACAGTGACTGGTCCAGTGATAGGCATATGATGCCAGGCAAGACAATTAGAATTCTTGTCCAAACATTTTCTAATTGGACTGGTCTTCTTTTCTTCCCTTTTGGTGGTTGGATTTTTTGGCCATGAGCTCAGAACTGGAGGGCATGCTGCCTGTTGAGCATTGAGAGTTTGTCTGCGAGAGCAGAACTTCAGCACGCATTTTCCTAACATTAATTAGTTATGAGTTGATTAATTAATAGCATGATTTGTGTGACGCATCAAGTGCTGTTGTTATATCCTCATCCAGAACTAGCAAGCAGAGCAGGAGAATCATGGGTGGAAGCAGCACCAGCCGTCAATGTCTGTGTGACTACATGCTGCTTATTGAAGCAGTGGGTTGTAAAGTTGATAAGAATGTGTACAAGTTGTATTAGTGAAAAGGATGGCGGAGATAGTAAAAGAAGGATTGTTACTCTTGAGTAAGAGCCATATGTAATAAGGAAATAAAAGGCATAGAAAGCCTTAGATTCATGCAAGGTTAATATATTGATGGGAAGTGCAGGAATAAAAGAATATAGTCACTAAATGTTACGCTTCTTGGTAGGAAAAGAATCCTATATAAAACTAACGATGTGAGGGGGAAATCCAATTTAAATTTAAATCTATTAGATTACTCATATGAAATGCCATTTTTAAAGTCAAAACTGTCAAAGAACAGCAATTGTACATGATTTTCCCTAATATATAGATTGTTCTTTGTTATGACAAATAAGAACCAAGATACTTTGAGGTATTAAATAGCTAAGTACAGTTTAATTATAAAGTTCCTGTTTAATTTCCCAGGAACATAATTTTTAATTGCAACTAGTGGGATTTGGGAATGCTTCAAGGAGAGGTGTTTGCAATGGTGTTGAAGACTGCTTGACTTAGTAGTGGAGATAGAATAGAAAAATATCCCAGGCCATGGGCAGTAGCATAAGTAAAGGAATGGATAGGACAGTGAGTACAGTATGCTACCTTTTGTGTAAGAAAGGAAAACAAAGTATATACTCCTATTATTTGCTCATATAAATGTTTAAATTTTCTGTATTCTTAGAAGAAATTAATGCCAGTGGTCGACTTTTTGGAGTTGGGTATGGAATCTGGGTGGATGGGGGACAAGGTGTAGGGAAGACTCCTGGGTATCTGGCCATTCCTTCCTTTTCTCCTTCTCTCACCCTTCTTCCCTGGCCCTTTCCCTGCTCAATGCACAGGCATGGGAACATGGAACAGACTGATGAATCTCAGAGGGAAGTGGGGAGGGGGTGGGCGGGAAGAGATTAACCAAAGATCTTATATGCATACTAGAGGCCCAGTGCATGAATCCTGGCCTGCCAGGATCAGGCAGAAACCAGCAGTCTGACATCCCCCGAGGAGTCCTGGATTGCGAGAGGGCGCAGGCCAGGCCGAGGGACCCTAGTAGTCAAATAAAAGAAGTGAGACCAATAAGAGTAATGTGGTACACAAGGGGTGTCCCTTAGAATGCTTCCCAAACTTTACTGCGCTCACAAGTCATTTGGGGATATTGCTAAAATGCATATTGTGACACAGTAGGTCTGGGATAGCACTTGAGAGTCTGCATTTCTGCACACTCCCAGGTACTGCTGGTGCTGGTGGTCTGCAGATCACATTTTGATCCACAAAGCATTGCATCTCAACCTCAACCCTCTGCTTCTCCTTCTGTCTCTCCAAGAGCTCAGACTTGGTGTCCAAGGTGTAAGCACACACAGCACAAGGCAGAGAAGGAGGTAGAGATCCCCTTTCCATCTACAAATTGTATTTATTTCCTCATCGGGTTATCTGAATGGATCCATTTTAGAAAGATAATACAGATGTCAGCATGAGGCATAGAAAAGAATCATGAAGAAATGAGAGGCAGTTATATCAAGCAAGAGTTGACAAGGGTCCTTAAAGATTAGAATGGAAGCAGCCACTCAACCAGAGTGACTCAGTTGGTTGAGTGCCATCATGTGCACCAAAAGGTTGCCGGTTTGATACCTGGTCAGGGCACATACCCAGGCTGTTGGTTTAATCCCTGGTCGGGGACAAACAGAAGGCAACTGGTGGATGCTTCTCTCCCCTCCCCCCTCCCCTCCCCTCCCCTCCCCTCCGCTCCCCTCCCCTCCCCTCCCCACCCCTTCCCTCCGCTATTCTCTCCTCTCCTCTCTCTCTCTCTCTCTCTCTCTCTCTCCCTCTCTCTCTCTCTCTCTTGTCCTTCCTCTCTCTCTCAGCATGTTCTTAAGTGAGGATTTTTTTTTTTTAAAAGGAAACATTTGAGATCTTGCTCCCCAGCACATGTCGTCAGAGATTGGCTCAAATTAACTCATAACAATTTTCTCTAGAAAAGAAAAAAAGAATGGAAGCAGCCAGAAGAGATTTTTCAGAGGCCAACTCAGCTGGCTGAGGAAGCCAACCTGATGTTAACAGGAGAGTGAGAAGGAAGGAATAAAGGCGACTCCAGAGTTTTGTGCCTGGATGTGCCCAGAATGATGAGGGTGCCATTAGCTTGTGGGGGAATATGAGTTCAGTTTTATCCCTTATATCTAGGAGAAATCCTAGATCTGAACAAAATGGTAAAATAAATATAGTCATGGGTATCAAGTGAGTATGGACATGAAGTACAAAATGTTTAGAAATAAGAATGTTAGGGCACATGTTCATTAGTGGAAGAAATCTAAAATAATGGCGGGGACTGTTTTGGTAGTGTAGGGTGGTGCTACCAAGAAGTTTTAGAGAAGATAAAAACCTTTGCTCCTAAGCAGACATGCAACATTTTCTTCTGTAACAAACTGTTGTAAATCTTTCAGAAAACCTTTGAAGCTTCCAGGAAAGTCAACCCAGTCCCTGACATATCTGCTCCGATATTAGAGTCTGAGTTGCTGGAGTTACTTGTCTGGTATCTTTTATGAGCACTGCTTGTACACAAAATAGTCTTCTGTGTTCCCTTTTAATGAATGTATTTTGGAATGTAAATGTCTTTTCTAATTGTTTAAAATTTACTAACAGTTTTACAGAAAAAGGTACATATAAAACAACTTGGTAGAGCTTTGGGATCTTCAGTTCTTATAGTGCACTACATACCAGTATATGCTCCCGGTGGTAATGGCTGTGAGTCATTGGTGTGTAAATTGTTTAATGACCACTCATCCCTTTGCAATGTGCCCTAGATGTTGCCCTCATCAAAAGATGGAGTCTGTTGCCTCTCTTCTTGAATCTCAGCTGGCCTTATGACTGGGGCCATAAGGCCAGCTGACCAAGGGATTACAGTATCTGCTCTTGCCTTCTTGCAATGTGCCGCAAAGATGTGAGGAAACTTGACCTAGCCTGCTTCCGGTGAGAGACCATGTTCAGAGATAAAGGCCCACCCTTCAGCTAGCACCAAACTCCAGACATCTACAGATGAGTCTGAATGAGTGAGCAGGGGCCAGATTCTGAAGGACTTTGTGAGACATGCTAAGGAAGTTGGACTCTGTGGCACGGACAGAGGGAAGTCACTGAGGCATCCGAAGCAAGGGAGGGAACTTATCGAACTTACATTTTAGAAAAATAAATCTCACAGTAGGGAGAAGAACAAATGGTTTGAGGAAAAACCTGGAGTTAGAAGATCTGTAGGCAGAAATGTTGGGAGCCATTATAAATCACATATACATCTCCAGCTTACAACAAGAGGTTTCTGGCTCCTCCAAGCCAACTCCCGGTTTGGCCTGGAGTTAAAAGTTAACCTTGCAATTTAGCCTGGAGTTAAATAACATACCCTCACCCTAAGCACAAAGCAAGCTACATCTCCGCTGATAAGCTGCGACATTCCAAAGCCTGTTTCATCCTTAACGACTTCCTTTGCCCGCCCCCTCCTCTAGGAGCAGTATAAATACCACTCGCTGTAAAGAATAAAACTGAGGCTTGATCAGAACTTTGTCTTGCCTCCATTTCTTCGCGTCTCCTATCCTCTCATTCCTTTGCAGGATTTGGTGCGGTGTACCCACGAAGCGTGCCCTGCAGGTCGGGGCATAACTGGCGCCCAAACGTGATCTCCGCTCTCCAATCCTCCTCAGGAACGTTCACTTTTTATGTCCGGCCGGATCTCCCTTTGGCGCCACTGGGATCGCCCTGTGAGTCAGCCTGCTTTTTTCCTGGTCGCCGCTCTGCTTACCCGCTTTGCGAGTCAGACCTGTTGCTTTGGTAAGTGAACGCATTCATTTTGGATAGGCATTCTCTTCCCTCATTGCCTCCCCCCTTGTCTCCTGCCTCTAGTCCACTTTGAGCACTCTCTTGTCGTTTCGGGGAAGAGTAAAAGGTACCCGATTTCGGCGGAGAGAACTCCGAATCACTCAGGCTTGTCCTTTGGTTTCGTTCCACGTGGTTGACTCCTTCCAAAAACCCTGCGTTCACCTTGTCTTAATGGTCTTTCTGAGAAAATGGGGACTCCAGCTGAGACTCTGAAGTAAGTGTTTTTGCCTACTTTAAAGCTTAAACCGTCCACCCAAAATTAGAAGTAAACCAGAAAAAACTTGTGTCACTGTTACTCCGGGAAAACTCCTTGCCTACTTAAAAACGCAAGCCGTCCACCTTGTGAGCACTCATGGGGTGCCTGACTCCCGACTGGTGAATGCCTGAGGGTCCTAGCAGGTTACCTGCCTCACAAGGGTCCAAGTTGGCGGGTTATACCAACCGGCTGTTTACGTAGGAGGAGCGAGCTGCAAAAACAGCTCCGAGGAAGGCACTTGAAAACAAGTTTCGATCTGGGGAGCTCTGATTCAGGGGTCCGAGTTGGCGGATTATACCAACCGGTTGCTTACGTAGGAAAACACACCTGTGGCATAAACAGGACTGAAGTAGTCTCAGCAGAGAATTTCAACATCCAGACCTATGACACGTGAACAGGGGCCTCTCTTTTGAGGTGACGGTTGGCATCTTCCTCACTGGTTCGTCTCCTTGTCGACTCCTGGGCTGACCTGGTACGGGGTTTATACGTCCCGGAGGCTTACGTGGAAGAGGCTAAGACATGGGCAGGCTTTGAGTTCTCATGAGCTGTTTCTTAAAGGACTCAGGGAGTCCCTCTCCTTGTCGACTCCTGGGCTGACCTGGTACGGGGTTTATACGTCCCGGAGGCTTACGTGGAAGAGGCTAAGACATGGGTCAGGCTTTGAGTTCTCATGAGCTGTTTCTTAAAGGACTCAGGGAGTCCCTCAAGGCGCGAGGATTTAGGGTTAAAAAGAAAGATTTAAAAGGCTTCTTTACTTTAGAACATCTTATGACAACCAAACTTTGGCTAAGATAACCTTGGGTGTTAACCATGACTTTAGAAAGCGAAATAGGAAAAAATTTAAAAAGTCTTTTTCTATTAAGCATAACTTTGGGGAAAAATACGCCATCTGAGTCATTTGCTAAAACTTCCCCCAAAACAGGATATGTAGGGGAAAGGAAAAAGGAACACATGGCGATCCTATATGGACGCCTCCTCCCCAGTATTTAAATTTAAAATCTCCTTCTCGTAAGTAAAAAAGTTTTACAAAATTTAGAAAATGCGTCTGGGATTTCTGTTCACGTGTAAAGAGAAAAACTGGCTTGGAACTAAAAGCGCGCATCATCCGATTTTGGACATTTAGATAGAGTTTTGAGCTAAAAATCTCTTTACAAATGTACAGAATAAAACCCAAGACTGATTATTTCCTAAGAAAAATGGCATATTTGAGCCAGGGAAGAAATGCAGGCTGGTTCTAACAATAAGATTGGTATTTTTCCATAAAAAAGAGTGATTTTTGAAATGTTAATAAAGCCTGTTCCAAAGTTAATCTTAAAAGCCTCAAAGAAATTTAGTAAAATTGTCTGTTATAGAAAAGTTACCAAAATAACTGCCTTAAAATAATAATTTAGATTTGAATCTCAAGAATTATTGATCTATATTAATTATAAAAATTTAAGTAGCCCGGTAAAAAACCGCCCTTTGTTAATTGAAAAGGCTGGCCAAAACATTTCTAATGAGAAAAGGGGCTAGTTGCTTCCCACATGTAGCAAATTCTTAAAGAATATGGTCAATTTACTCTTCCAGGGAAAACAGCCCCTCCCTTCCTCCCCCAGGCCAATATTGAAACTTCCCACCGACTAGCAAGGGGCAGGAAGCAATGTATCTACAACCTTGTTTGTTGGCCTTCCCCAGAGGAAAAATTATGGTCGTTTTAAAATCAAAGGCTGGGGCCAGGCCTGCCTCGCCAGCCTCAAGTGTGGTTTTCCAAATCTGCTGTGAAATTTAAGACCTTGGAGTTTATACCTAGGTATCTTGAAGTGACATAATACTGAATTAAATAAGATTAAGTGTACTTCGTACAAAATCTAAAGAACAGAATTAAATCTGTTGGTTGATTATGTCCTGCATTTTTTGAAGTTTATTCCTAAAAATGTTACTGATTGAGAAATGCTAAATATTTGACTTGCCAGCTAAAAAGTTCTAGTTAAATCAGATTTGGAAAAATCATATAATTATAGTAAAATTTCAACATTTGTCTAATTGAAAAAAGAGGATAAATTTTGTAATCCCAACCAAAATTTTTAAATATAAAGATCAGTTTAAATTTAATTGATATCTCTTAATAATTATAAAAGGCATATAATCTTTAAATCATATATATACGTATATATTTGATGGTCTTTCAAGTTGGATTTCAAAACTATAACCAAGGAATGACTTTGGGACATTTCATGGGCCCTGAAATGTTTTCAAAAGTTTATTCTCTCTTCTTAAAGGTTTTTTAATAAAGCCAATTTAATATACTTGAAATCACATGGAAAGCTTTATCAAATATAAATTAATAAATATATTTTAAGTTTTTGCCTCTGAGAAAGGGCAAAACAAGTAATTTTGTTTAATATTTCTTAAAATACAGCAGTAGAATTTTAAGAGTATTTGTTAAAATCTCAAAAGGCAACCATATTTCTTACATTTGTTGCTTGTGTGAGAAAGACAGCATTTGTCCCTTGTGAATCAAAAGTTTACTAAATACTAAATTTACTTGAAAAATCAATATATTGGGCCTCAAAAGCTAAATTAAATAATTTGTGTTTTGTCTCCTTAAACAAAGTTTATGTAAATTTACCCAAAAACTAATACCAGAAATTTAATTAAGGTCATTTACTGTCCATAACTTAGGACAAGTAAAGTTAAAAGAATAAATGCTATTTCAAACTGACTTAAAATTGGCAAATTGGGTTAAATGGATATTCAGGGGAACTTAGTTGTCACCTATTAAAAGATAAACTTTTACAATTTTTATATAAGACCTCCATCATTATACCAAAAAATACTACGCAGGAACCAATTCCTGGAGCTTTAACTGTTTTTACTGATGGGTCATCAAATGAGAAAGCTGCCTATCATACTATAAATTCTGACAGAGTCAGAGAAGCCCTAGTTCAGAACCAAATTGAAGAATTCATTAGAAACATGTATCCTCCCCTCCACTATCACCCTTTAGCCTTACCTAAATCACGAGGAGTAGATCTAGACACCTATGCCCCTTGTCATTCCAGATGACATCAGTAACATCACTTCTAATAATAATTGTACCCTCAGTTTGCCCTTTAGAACTCAACCTGTTGCATTCAACTTTTCCTCATGTCTACAAAAACTCCCCCAGAATAATAGTTATGATCTAGATGTAGGCTTCGTTAGCTTTGTTAACTGCTCTCCCGTTCACAATCACAGTTCCTCCCTTTGCCCCGCTCCTGGACGAGTGTTTGTATGTGGAGGTAATATGGCCTATACAGCTCTACCTTTAAACTGGACAGGATTATGTGTTCAGGCTAGTATTCTCCCTGACATTGATATTATTCCAGGGGGAGAACCTGTCCCCCTACCCAGCCTTGATTACATTGCTGGACGCAGTAAGTGGGCTGTCCAATTTATTCCTTTACTTATAGGACTGGGAGTCTCTGGAGCT